TGACATGACTTAAAAGTCTAAAATTCTAAAGACTTCCTTTAAACTTTCAAAACAAACTATATATCATCATTCATAATAATATAATATACAATATAATAATTTTTAATTTAAGGAAATGTTTCTTACTAAAGAATTCCAGGAATTATATGCTCCACTGTCTCCCACCTCCCCCACCTCCTGGAGCCCTCACCCCCATTGGCATCTTCTATAAAAAAAAAAAAACATATACACACCTTTTTGGCACAGACATTGAGCAGGCCTGGTGACATCACAGGAGGGTCCTCTTCTTCCTCTTTCAGTGGCCACAGGAGGGGGAAGGATAGTCTTCCAGGAATGAATGGTGCTCAGTGTAATGAAGTGTGAGCACCGCCCATTTGTGCAGTATTGTTACCCCAGCCTGGCCTGATGACGGCGCCCCCTGGGGGAGGTGGGTATTTTTCTTGCCAAAGCAGCCTCCAACTTCAAAATTCATGAACATACACTTTTGTTCTTAGAAAGTTTACCACATGTAGGATTCTACTTTCAAAGTACTTTATTAAGTTTTTTCGTTTTGTAGAGATACAGAGTATACGTAACTCAAGAACAATAACATACATAACATAAGGATTACAGACAAAGACATTCAATCAGCCCTAGATGGTAGGAGTCCAAGAAAACTGCCTTCACCATCCATTAGTATAGTGTACAGACCAAGAAACCATTAAACACTGGACCAATCAAGGTTGGGTTTAGCCAAGTTAAAATTGTAATTATAAAAGTATCTGGACACCATATCCCACTCCCTCAGGAGTGCAGGATTAATAAGGTCAACGGTCCACTGAGGGCCGATCAATAAAACAGTACAAAAGGAAGAGATCACATATGGGATTCTAGGAGCTGCTACTGTTTTTCCTAATTTCCTATATGCCCACCAACACGACCGAATCCGCTGAACTCTCACTGCAAAATGACAAAATGTCAACAAAGGGGCGGAGTGAGTCATGACGCCAATTTAATGACATTCTGGACCAGGGTTACTATCATTGACAGCTCTGGTCCCTAATATCAAAAATTGGGCGGAACAAGTCCCGTGATGTAGTGACTCGCTCCGCCCCTTTGTTGACATTTGGGTCAGAGCTGTCATTTTGTGAGGGGTATTAGTCAGGAAAAGATGGGTCGGTGGGCTTCGAGTTTTTTCATTTCTGTGAATCAGCGGCCGTCGCTCATCGTGATTGATGTGGATCTAAATTGCTGGACATTTTTTTGTGTTTTTCTTTTTAATAAAGGAATTGACAAAAAATTGTGTTTGTGTTTTTTTTTTCAAATAAAGGATTTTGTTTTTGATGTTGTGTGTTTATTTACATTTTGAATGTTTATTTGGTGAATGAGTAGGGTAACAACTAGTCCTTAGTTATTCATGAGGGGGAGCGGGATCGGGATGCCTCCTTTATGAAACCCAGATTCCTAACAGCCCCCCTGCCCGGAGACCTACACAACCACCTGGCCAGGGTTTTGGGAAATTGACCTCATCAACATGGGGACAAGTTACTTTTTTGGGAGTTTCCCCTGGCAAAGCACCCTCCCAATGTCGAGGGCATTTGTCCAGGCACGCTCGTCCCCCCATTACCTTCTCTGCCTGGCTGCTGCTCAGATCAAGGGCCTTTTTTTTTATTTTTGGCACAGCGGCCAACTTCAAATTCCTATCAGACCTAAAGCATCTGATATGAATTGGGGGGCTAAAACACTTTTTTAAAATTGTTTCTGTGGACTGTCAAAAGTTAAAAAGAAAAATGTCACTTTGCTACAACAAAAAGGAGTTTGTAATAATCTAATGCCTCCGAAATGAATGAAAATTGGGGACTCACGCTTTTTTAAAATTGTATTTGAATGTTTAACAACATGAATTCATTTAGAATGACACCCGGAAAAAAATTGGATGCATCCAAATTTTTTATTATCGGAAAATTCGGATACGTTTGGATTTGTTATCTTTTCATTCAGAAATACGGATGCATCTGAATGCCGAATTTCCATATATTCGTCCTAATTTCAGTTAAGAACGAAATAAATCTTACATATCTAATAACTAATATCTATGAAGAGCACACAGTGATTGTAATGTAGCTGAGGCCGTGCACTATAAGAAGCACAATGTAATTATCTGATGGGAAGTACAACGCCCCTCTCTTTTTGTTGGCTCGTCTGCAATCCTTCTTCTTTCATATCTCTCCTCATTCTTCATGTCGCTGGTTTCTTTTATATACTTTAGGATGAATTTCAGATGCTTCATCCTTTCCTCTCTGGGATTGTTCACATGTTTTATACGGAATTTGACGTCTTCCAAAATCTCATTGAAGAATCTGATGATGTCTTCATGTTTCTCTCTCACCATTGGTTGACCCACTGCAGTGTAATTGTCGATGGTGTATATCTTATCCATCCCCATGTTTTTAAAGAATGACTTCATAGATTTCAGTTCACCCGAGGACTTGTGTGTCAGGACGATGTAGGGGTTGATGCCTGGAACATTGACATGAAGAGTATCAGTACAAACTACAAATGAGTACTTAAAGGAGAGGACATAAAGATACAGAGAAAATGCAATCATTATATGGACAAAGGAGAGAGAGGGAAAGATAGATAATGGAATGGCACCCATTATATATACAGAGATGGGGGTGGGAGATTGGCAGAGGAATGACAGCCGTATTGACAGAGAAGACAGAGGTGGAAATGGAAGAAGGGAAGAGAGAGGGAGTGATATATTATACTGTACATATTCTGATTATATATAGGGGGGTAGACAGAATAAAGGACTACTATACAGACAGAGAAGAGAGATAGGGGAAGATAGATTAAGGAATGGGAGTCACTTTAAAGCAGGCAGATGGGTAGATATAGGAAATACAACCTTTATATAAACAGAGAGGAGAGAGGGGGAGAGATTGGCAGAGCGATTAGAGCCATGATATGAAAATTGAGAAAATAGACAGAGGAAAAGCAGACATGGTAAGAACAGAGAGGAGAGAGAAGAAAAATGGCAGCCACTTGAATGTATAGCTAAATAATTACCAGTTAGTTCTCGTGCATTGTTCAGCAGCTCTCTGTACAAGTCAGCTTCATTTTGGATTTTATATGTTACTCTAGAAAAAAAAACAAAATATATATTTACTTTAAATCCCAATATAGGTGAACTGTGTGCATTACACATATGGTTCTTCATGACTGCAAATGTATTTCTTCATTCATTTATTTACTTATTTATTATTTGCAGGCTTTGAAAATTCCGTTTGGTTGCAGATGGAAACGGAAAGTATATTTTATTCAAATACATTTTATTAAATGTTAAAGAAAGTTAAAATACATTACAAAGTATCATACAAACAGAAAAGAAGATTACCAGAAGCGTACTCTGTAGTATAACATATAATATTCCAAATATTCAATTTGATGACCAGGGCCGGATTTCCCACAAGGCCTCCATGGCCTGGCCTCGGGGTAGCAGGGAGGAGAGGGGTGGCACAGCTGCAGGGCGGGTAGTTTGTTTTCTACATTTAGCCCTGCTTCAGGGCAAGCAGAGCTAAATGTAGAGCGGGGAAGCTGCCACTCATTTAGTTAAAGTGATACCTGCAATGCCACAGAGATCACTTGTATGGAGCCTGTGGGCCCCCCCCCCATCCCCTCCCTCCATGGTCCGCCCACCTCCAGCTGCCTCTCTCCCCACTGGCCACCTCCCTCCCTGCCCTGGTTTTCACAGTCCCCCACTCTTCTGGGGGAGCCAGGACCATGGCACATTCGTTCAGGGTCAAGAGCGGGGAGCAGAAAGGAGAACATCTGGATGTGATGTATTGGATGTTGTCTAATGATAAACCATTCTCAGTGCTGATATTTTGTATAAGCATATACAAGGTGATTTACAACTGTCCTTCCCAGATTAAAGTGAAACTCTGTCCCCCTGGAGATTATTCCCATAGTCTGGAGCCCTTTCTCCAATATACAAGTTCTCCAGCTTCTTGCACAACTCCAATTAAGTCCAAAGAAAAGAGGACATTATTTATTGCTATGAGATGCAGGAGGAAATCTTGTGACTTCTATCAGAAGCTTTTTTACCCCGCTCCCTTTCAGATCTGCTGTCTAGACATGTGTAACTCATTTCGTTCTGAATTGAAATTCGTACATATTTCAAGAAATCCAGACATTTGGATGCATCCGAATTTCCAAATGACAGTAATAACGAATCTGAAGGAATCCGAATGTTTGATAACGAAATTCAGATACATCCGAATTTCATTCGGAAAGGAAGCACAACAAGCGGGAGATCTGTCATTTACCGCTCTCCGGCTTCTCTCCACTTGTATCTCAAATGAAAACAAAGTATCAGAATATTGTTACAAAATGTAAATAAACAAAGAAGCTGAAAGATCTGCGTTATTCTGTAACAGCTTCTGCTTCTCTGAGAACACTTCCAGCTGTCACATAATACACAAAAGTGTTAAACTGTTCACACCAGCTACGTGAACAGCCAGCCTGCTATTGGGTACTTCAATTTTAAATAGCCAATAGCAGGCTTTGTTTACTTCTGCCCACTGCCTGATGTAAACATTGCACCGGAGAATTTTTTTTTTCCAATTGTGGGCAGACACTGGAATGACTTTGTGGGACATTTCTAAATTTATTTTAAATAAAGGAATCGTCAAAAACGTGTGTTTTGTTTTCTGTTCAATTAGAGGATTTTTTTTCTAAGGTGTTGTGTGTTTATTTACATTTATTATACCCTTTAGTGAATGAGGGGGGGTGGCATCTAGATTTTAGATTTTTTTTTACTATTTTGGTCTGGAATGAACTGCCGGGAAATTACTAGCTGTTTTTTTTTTTTTTATATCAAGTGAACCCCATAACGTTTCTACCAG